TATCTAAATTTTTTGGAATGCTCATGAATTCACCAATTAATGAACATCTTAGGTTGAATAAACTTTTACCCGAATCGCAGCGTGGATTCCGTTCTAAAAAATATTGAAATTACGTTAGACTCTGTAACTAATGATGTTTTAATAGCGCGTGATCAGGGTTCAAATTTTGTCTTGACCTTAATTGACTTTTCAAACCGAGCCCAATAAAAAGGCGGATCGTAAATAACAGTTCGAACAAAGGCAATAATATGTTCACGAATCATAACAATACAGATATAAGAACGTATTATACAATAGCAACACCGTGTATTCCACTACGCAGAGTAATACCGCCACTACACAGGGGTTGGACTTATCTTGGATAGAGATCCTATCCACGAGGATCTCAATTCCTGTGGGAGGTACAGCGTAGGTTTAAGTTGCGTTCTTTTGGGCGTATTTACATGCCGTTGAAAAACTTTTATGGCTTACTGAGATATTTGGGAAAAATCTAAAGGGCAAATAATTTTTTTTCTGACTTTATTTTAAGAAAAATCGAAAAACTAACAGAACTTTTCCATTTGCACTCTTTAGGCACTACACTACAATGAAGATAACTTCCACATGCTTTGTGCTAGAAAAATACTAAGAATACTGCAGAAATGTATATTAATAAATTTGTCCAAAGAAGGCAGCCAAATAAGTCAATTTCCTTAAAGTTGGCAACAAATTTAAATCAATATAATATAATATATTGGAAAAGCCTGTTACGTCTCGAACAAAGGAATTTTTAGACGAAACTCAGAACAGTGTGTTACCAGCAGTTGCTTAGAACTCTGAGATATCAGGTAGGCAAATAAACAAAAATGTAGGAGTGGCCAAATACACAGCCCAAATATTTTGCGTAAAAATAGATATCACTCCTATAAATTTAGAATCTGCCAAGGACTTAGACCAGGTGATAGCGAGCCGCGCCACCATTTTTGGGAGTGGTACTCACGAAGGAGTGAACAAGATTTTAATTTCGCTTCATAAAAAATATCGTCCGACGAGGGTATGGTCACTAATAATGACATCTTTAGTCCCCGCAGTACTCTTTACTGGGCTCAAGGAATCCTGCGGGCTTAAAGGGAATGGACACTATCCTTAACAAATACACATTTGATCTAAATAAAGACTTACATGGTATTAATACACGACAGCAACTCGACATACATGTTCTTTTTATGAAACACAAAGTTGGCTGCAGGTCTCCTAAAATCCTGGGCCCAAGAATCTTTAATAAATTATCGGATGACCTTAGAAGGATAAAAATCTTAAGGCTGTTTAAGGTGAAGCTGCAAAGCTATTTTGTTGATGAATCTCTGTACTCTGTGGATTATCCTATATGTGTATGTACATATATAAACTCTTGTCTTTGAATCATTGTTTTTAAATCTGATTTTTGTTTTTTATATTTCGTATATATTTGTATGTTTGTATTTTTTTGTATGACTGACGAATACTATTATTATTATTAATGTCGCATGGATAATACAATAAAATATATGAAATATATGGTGTGGAATTTTATGGACCAAAATATTAGGTTCATTTATTCACCACAACTCCTTAACTGCAGAACGCTACCTTTAATTGTTGCAACATGATCTAGAAGACTGCCTGGATAATTTACCTTTGGCACAGGTTCACAGCTGTTGGTTCTAGAGTATCTTCCTCAGCGATTTCCCGGAAGGTGGATTGGAACCTCCAGTGAAGTGTCCTGGTCAGCGCGTCTCTCGAATTTAATTCCTTTGGACTCTATTGTCTGGGGTTTTATTAAAGACCAAGCTTACTTTTGAAGCTGAGCAGCAGTTACGGGAGTGTGTAATGGAAGCATTTAGTACGACTTCAATAATAGTTACGTGATGTTTAGAATTTACTGTTAGAAGTTCATATTGATGTTTAGAAAATAATTGCAATCCATTTGAACACCATTTATGAATAAAATATAAATACAAATATAATGTTAAAATGTATTGGTCATTCTGAATGTCACTAAATTGAGCATCATTTTATCAAATTTGTCCTCATCATATAATTATGTAATATGTAATATGCGTCCATTAGCAATCACATAATCTTACATCAAGCATTTGCTTGCAACGCCTATTTAAGTAAAATATAAAAATAAAAATACATTTTTCCTTATAACCAATAAAACAAATGTAAAATCTTATGCATCGTTGAATTCGTAGAAAAAGATGCTATCAGATGCAGGGTGTACTTCTTTCGGAGTACATAGAAAAATAAAGTTGGTGATGGTTTCACAAAAACAAAATGTCGAGTACAATATTTGAAGACACCATCATGTAGTGGCTAAAAAGTGCCAATAAAAATGTCCAGTTGGTCTTCTGATATTTCTTAAAATAAGATTGAAAAAAAATATATATTTGGCCAAATTTTAGTTTTTCCCAAATACCTCAGTAAGCCCTGAAGTTTTTACAAGTTTCTCGACGGCCCAAAGAATGCAGCTTTTTCCTAATTTAACCTAAGCTGTATTTCCCACAAGTATTGAGAGTCTCATGCACAGGATCCTTCTATCTGTCTTAAAAACAAACTTGAATATTCATGCGCTTTTATCTATTTTTCAGTTTAAGGAGCGCTTAGTGCAAAAGATTAAGTAAACAGTTCTTATAACAGACGATACCGATTTTTCAGTGAGAGACAACCTATAGACACCTTAAAGAACAGTAACAAATCGTAGCGAGCCTGTTTCCCTGCACTGGTGATAATTACTAACAGTGGTGTCAGAGCCACGTTAAAAATGACCGAGAGTGAACTAAATGGGGGGCAGGAAGCACAGCGGGAGTCACCGATGGCGTCTGAGCTCTGAACGGCCCCAAATGGAGACAAATTGCGAAAATAATTCACGGCGCTGAGTGGGGGCCACACAAACAAAACGCTGAGAGCAGAGTGGGGGGCTAATCAAGAAATTGAAGTTTCAATAAGCGACGTCATTAATTCTCACTTCGGAAAGTTTCATCGGAGTTACGCTGCTGTATTGGCTTCTCTGTACGTAATGTTGCCCCTTGTTACAACATGCAGGAGATTCGCATTTAAATGAATGGCGTCAAGAAGATTGACACCTTTTTAAGTAGCTAGTGGTATTTATTAGTATCAGTTTGCAAATGAAGCTGTTACACTGAATTGAATCTAAAATCTTGTACCGGTTATTATTTGCTATTGTGTACAACAAAGTTATTCCTGAAATAAGTTCTCCGTAAAATTGACTTACTTTTCGATGTGTCGGAGTCGCTTTCCAATTATCTAATGATCATAGATTTCCATCGATTCTGCCAGTATGAGATACTCATACATTTCCTCCCCAAGCATTTAACCGTGAGTTCTAAATTCACAATGACGCAATACTTAATTAACATGATGCTTTCTCGGTCTTCGTACATGGGGCATTAGCTACTCTTATCGATTTTAGATGACATACAAAGTGGGCCTTATAGCAGTTGCACTACCATCTTATGTGTTACTGTTTGGTCGTAGACCAAGTCTTAGACTCAATAATAGTTAAGGTGCCTGAAGATATTTCCCCTCAAAAAAGTGGTATTTTTGTTTTTGTATGACCATAGCCCACCGTGTAGCAATACCTTTGAGATGACTATGCTAACTTAGATTGATTAAAAAGACTTACGGTTTGCTTCCAGGGATCCCCAAATAACGCAATTTGTCGTTCTGTTCAGAACGTCGTTCCCACTTCCCACGCCACCGAATGTTCTGATCACCATGGTACTCTCAAACCATGCCTACATTAAAGTATATACACAAACAATCTATATGGACCCGTTGATAGGAAAAAGTTGGGTTACTTGTTTACAACCAAGAAGTACTTTTTACGGATCCAGACCCAGGCTTGAGTACTGATCTCATTGGGGTGCTGCCGCCCCGACTACATAATGGATGCTGTTCAGATGAGAGCTGCCCGACTGACGGATAAGACTAATAATACTGGTTTCGTCCGACTGACCAACAGACGGTCAACCGCGTATAGCTATTTCATACTTATTGGCAATCATCAGCACGGTCTAGGCCTGGTCTCTAGGAACGAATGCAGAGCTAAGTCTGTCTATATCCGGGGTAATAGTTTTTACTTTGTGCTGTCATATTTTGATCCATAACACTTCACGAATAGACCAACTCGGCAACCTTTTACACCAACTGGCGGTCGGCGATCTGGCTCTCTCTTATCGCTATCCCAACGGGGGTAGCTCCTCAAAGCTCTCCTCCATGATACCTCCATGCGTTGGTCAGGCATTTCTAGGGTATCGATATTGAATGAAATGCGAAAGGCTTTCGCGGCCATCATCCAATATTATTTGGTTGGTTTTTGGGTTGTTAAGCGGTCGTAAAGCATTGTTACTTGACATTTCGCCAACACGAGTTTTAGGCATCTTCAGAAGATGTTCACAGTCTAGAGTTCTGTGAGCTACTCAGTAGCGTCAAGCAAAAATGTTTTACGACGGCCTAACAACCCAAAAGCCAACCAAATAATATTTCTATCGGTATTGTTGAACAATCTATTTGAGCAGATTTGTCGCAATTCTGTTAGCCTGGCCTACCAGTATACATTTTTTTTATAATCCAACCACCACGAATGCCTAAGGCCTGAACACCCATGGGTACCTTGGGGCTATAGGGGGATATAGGGGAAAGGGGGAACGCCACACAGACTCTGACGAGGGAACACGTGTGCATGTAACAAGCACACATTCTGGCCCCGCCTACGAGATCCGCCGGGTAGTACCTCTACGTTCGACAGTCAGAAACCGTCTACTACAATCACAACATCCATTGCGAAGAGAAAAATTTCTCTTGGGACGGGATTCGAACCCGCACAGCGCACGGCGGCTGATCAGGAGACCGAAGAGAAATAAACAAATAGTGAATGGATAGCTTCTAATTCATTATCCAAGATCGGTCTATATGTCTAGATTTGAAGTAGACTTTCTCAAAAGGAAACAAAACTGTGATTTTGTTACAACAATTTATTTACAAACATAATGTTCTACATAAATCAATCGATATGGTAACAATCTTCTTAAAAATTAGTATGTACAAGTTGGTTGTACAGGTTATATAACGTCAAAGAGTGTTGTGGTGTATAAAATTGGACATCAGCATGGGTATCCGTGAAATTCGATAATTCTTGTCCATTTGGAGGGACTTTGATATACATTCAGATTTACGACATTTCGTAGTGACGGTGCTCAGACAGGGGTCTAATAGACTATGTGCTCTTTAGACGGATAATTCTGTTTTGAAGATACACATATCCAAGTATAAGGTTAGAAATGTATTGCGGCGGCAGAACATTTAGTATTGGTGAATATCTAGAACCATAGCTGTATAATACAAACAAGTCAAATAAAAACTACCTCAGTGAGCTTGTTGTCTACTGAAAGAGCACCCTCATTACGTTTAAAAAGGATGGAATCAAAATATGTACATTGTGATTATAGTTATGAAAAACCGAAGTTCCATAGGACATGTAGTAATCACTCCGTCAGGTATTTTTACCCGAGACCAGACATCTTTTTTTCTATGTACGAGTATCTTACTAGACTTAATTTGAAATACAAAGTACAGACTTTACTGAATAATTAATACAAATGATGTTTCCAATGTTATGGAAATTCAACTCGGCTCTAACTACTTGGAACATACCATCCTCATTTTATATGCAAAATTCATTAGCTTTGAGTGTTTCACAAAATGATAAGTAATTTTAGGGGTCTAAAATTAGTGCGAAATATGGATGTGATGGTACGTCTTGAATTCTTGAATTACAATTATACTAACATATTTTGCAATTTTTATTGGTATAGGTAATGTAATTTTTGTATGATTGATAAAATCAGCAGAAAAAACTTCTATAACTTTAGAAACATACCTCACATATTTGAACTAAATTAAGTCTCCCAGGACAACTCTGCTGATATAACTGGAACTTTTTAGTTGCTCATCTTGAATAACTTTTTGTCGTTTGTGGCAATTGAACATAATACATATGCAAATTTGGAATACCACACTTTGAATCTTAATACAGAGTGTTCCACTCATAATACTACTAAGTTGATTTCATGCTTAGTATTATGAGAAAGCGCATGTTCGTGTGTTAGATAATAACAAAATTATATGAATATATTTGACACACTGTATTTTGAGAGTATTAGTAAACCCGCACCATGGTGCATGAATGAACTGTGCATCACTTTCGTCCAGAAAACAAATTAGTCCATCTTAAAATGAGTTATGAGTCTTGACTGGATCTTCAACATCTTTGTCATACCTTCGGAATCACTGATTAGCAGTTACTGCAATTTTTCCTAATATAGTGAGGTATGGCACGCCATTTTCGATTCCAATTTTTTTATAAAGCTACGTTAGGAATCGCCAGATTAAGTATATTAGACTACTCTGGAGAAGATTGAAAAATGCACCAAGAGGATTAGCAAATCCCGGATTGGTACATTTGATCCATTTTCTGTTAACGTTTGTTAATGTCGCACTCACACTTTGCAAACTCAGATTCATCGAATGCCAGTTCCTAAGCTATTATATATCATCATAATACTAGTAAGGTCTCCACACGTTTCTGTTTGTGTCCCTAGCACTGCTTCTTACATCATCCCTTTCACTAGAACTGACTTCATCTTTCTGTCTCACTAAGGTTATGGCAGCTTTCCTCACTTTTAAGCTCAGATTGATCCCCTCCGATGGTTTTTCTTCTTTTTCCAACTTCTCTCCTTTCACTTCGGGTTTGTCCTTGATGTCCTTTACATCTTTGCTATCGTCATCTACTTCTGTTACGTCCAGTTTTTCACTGGAACTGTCGGGATTTTGTGAAGAATCGTCTTGTGATGTACTCCTGCAAAAAAAAAACAATGAAGTTCAAGTAGGTCCTATGGTATTTGATCTAAAATTTAATATAATGCAAAGATGGAGAATCATTTGGAAACGTTTGTAAATTTATACTATTTAGGTGTATTTTATGATTAACATATATTAGTAGTAGGGATTTAGTCTTGAGACATGTAAAGGTATATAGGTATATATTTTTATACTGAATTCCCGAATTCCAATTTTTGAGTATACTCGAAATAAAACTAATACCGACAGTTCAGATATCTAAGAATTCGGTATTTCTGTCGTCACTCAACTGATATCGTAGCTGTCGCCGTTTTCGTTGGATAGAAACATTGTTTGTAGAAATCTCGTTTCCAACTCATAATCCTTTAAGCAGCTAGAATTTGTCTGCCCGCTATATCTTTTCACCGAAAAAAACAAGCATATTACCTTGCCAACGCTGCATTGTTCCTAAAGTTCATCCAGCTCCAATCCTGGGGATATAATTGAGAATAGAACCACTGTCCTGGAGGAGGCAGTAGAGGGTTGTTCAGGAATAAACTGGCAGCCAATGCGTTGTTAAATAGCTGGGGAGAGGGAGGAATTCCGGGAAAAGCAGGTGACGGTTGAGGGGAAGGAGTGGGAGAAGCCGTGACGGATATGTTGTCCTCCTCTTGGGGTGACTGAGAATCTCCCGCTGTGGTGAGGAGACCAACTTGGGATGCTGGGGATGTTTTGGGAGAAGTTGTGCTGTGCGCACTACTACTGCAGTTTATGCTGATGGGACCTAAAGACGTCGATGAAGGTTCTGGAATAAAATAAAAAATAGCGTGTTAACAATACACATGTGCTGAAGTGGAAATTTAGCTAGTGACATTGCGAGGATCAAATGGGATAATTTTACCACAATAGCATAGAGGAATTAGTATTGGATGATTCTCCCTGCATCTAGCATGTAATCTATATATCTTTGCGGTCTTATTTGATATGGTCAACACTATTTTTTGTAGGTGTGTTCTGAGTAATCAGTAACCAGTCCAAAATGTAGCTGTTTTTCGTAGTTCCTTCCTAGTTTGAGGATTATGCCACATTGGGGCTAAAAGCTTCAGTAGAACGTTGAAGTTCTACTGGAGTGAACATACCTCACTACTCGAACCCACCTGTCGTAGTACAATTCTTTATCAAGTACCGCTCGTTAGTTGCGATCCTGTCAGGTTGAGATTAAACCCTTTACTGTCACCGCACAAACAACTACTATTCTTGAATTACTTGACACTCATAAGTGTATTTCCCCATTGGTCTTTGCCAGTACCTTTATGACGTTGTGACGTCTTGTATCTTTTACTTTACTTTAAGCTTATGTTAGAATGCTACTCAGAATAAGAAATTGTCGACAACTCTATCAATGGATGTTTCTAGCTAAAACATTTCACACAAATAAACGAAACTGCGAATACCCCTAATAGTCTAGTATTAGACGAAAATACTCCTGGTTTGCGAAATAATTGTAAAGTCTGGTTTTATTGATGCAAGTTGTTCAAGGCGGTATTTTACACATGGACGCAATTAAAATAAGATTCTTAGGTATTTATGAGCCCTACAGCTACTTGAAATTCTTTAAATCCGTAGGCGTCATACTTCTTAGTAACTACAACAGATTTGGAGTAGATTGGTCAAGTAGTCTTTGAGAATCTCTAATTGTTTATCCCATAACACCTATCTTCCGGCCATCACCACTACTTTACTGAGCAATATTACAGAGTTCGTTTAAGGGGCATTTTATAGCAAAATACACGAGTTTACCTTGCCGAGATAAATCACAAACCATTACGAAAGATAATTCTTGTTTTTGTTTGCGAAAAACGAAGGGTTACTTTTTTTTCTTCTAAACAAATTCAAACATTTCGTAATTTTGAGTAATTGGACAGATTCGCTACGATATTCGAAAAACACATTACATTTTTTTACACATTTTGAAACAAAGCAGATGTGTCCGTCGCCTTTGGTTGCGAAGAAAGCCATTTTTTTCAAGATTTATTCATACTCTTGTGTATACATATTTAGTGCTGAAATTCTTACATGGTCACAGATGAGCCCTAGAGTTTATAAAAATAAATATTTGATACCTAAATGCCCTGAACTGTTTATAAAGTTAGCACGCAAAATGAAGACACAATTATGTTTCAAACTGCTTAACCTAGTTAGTATGTAAATGTGTTAAATGGATGCATTATTGATCACTGCATGACTTTGTCAAATAGGTAGGTCACGTATCCCCTTTCTTTACGAATATTACACACATATTGGGTAACAGACCGTCAGATACAGCGAATGAGCTTCAAGTTCCAATCAACAAATTTTAGCAACCAATAGCTATTTCATAGCTTGAAAACAAAATACTGTCAAAGTATGAGATGACGACTTGTCATTGAAACATCACCAGCTTATTGAGTATTAAGAAATTACATTTATATCAGTCAAAATTTTAAGAACTGTTTGATTTTTGAACTAAATTCATGTTTTAATTACTATTGTGGATTTTTTATCCATTTTTATATTATTTTCTTGATTTGTGATACTGGGTGTTTTTTTTCTATAAACCTCTTGCAGATAGCCATTAAGCACCTACTTGATGACAGGCTCTACCAAAAGATATTGCTCGTTTCCAAACATTCATTCATTTACTTACCGTTCATCAGAACCATTATGGCACCTTAGATTGATACTCCCACACAGCCATTCAGGTTTTTTGATATCCATACATCCATAAAGTTGAATATTTTTCGTTCTTCAGGAAGTGAACAAACATCCACACTATATTCACAGCGATTAAGAAATTCCCAAATATATGCCTTAAAGCTACTAGCAAACCGAAAACCTGCAAAAAAACTACAAATTTGCCATATTTTTCTTTTTTCACGAAAACACATACTAGGTTATATTTATATTAGACATTATTTGAATACAGCTGATTATTGCATTTCAAGGAGTGACACATGTGTGGGATCTGTCAACTCTTGGTACCAGTCACAAAACATATACTCTGAAGGTTTAATTCCATGCTATTCAATGACATCATGGTGACTTGTGTGGTTCTCAGCGGCCATTTTGTGAGGGCGCGACTGGGTTGCCAGATTGTTCATTAATATCCCGTTTCACCCTCCTGGTCCCAGTGGAGTAAGTTCCGCCAACTGTTGAAATATACTCTACTATGCTTTATAAGACTATTCGGGTCATTTTTCCCAAAATCATTGCAAAACACTTGAAAAAATGCAAAATAGCTCCGTCGGTACCTTGAGTTATACATCTTGACAGTAGGGATGTTCGATACGATCCTATATTTAGAAGTATCAATACATTTCACGAGTATCGTCATCTTTCGATCCGGACTGTGTCAGAAAGAGTGACTGCCATTTGGCTGAGACATTACCCTGCCAAATCAGACATACCTATCTTTCATCATTTTCAAAGAAATTGTACAAAATCTTCAAATTTGTGAAGTTAGCGAGTTTCACTTCATACGTTGTTACCAGACATGCCCAAATCATCAGTTGCTGCCGCGATATTCATCCCGACCACTGCATCCCCACGGCTAGGCGACCTGTATGTTAAATTTGTATTGATAGGGCAGCGGATTATGCTATAGATCATATGTCACAGTTCTTGTGCACTCTTTGCAATGGTTAGATGATACCAAAAATATTTTCATAAATAGGAGATCTTTCCCATTCCGAATCGAACAATCCACCAAAGATGCTTATAATCATGATACCTAGTAAATTTACATGAAAAATCCTCTGTATGTAGGTATATAAGAGCTTTCTTATATTTGTTCATCAATTTGATGATAGAACACATCTGCTACAAATGATCATAATCAGTATAGTAAACTGTGATGAAGGTCCACTGTATGTAAGAATTTTCAGATACTTCTTTTGTAATTTTACAACAGACCATGACGGTGTTCACATTTTTCAAATATTCTTCAAGAAGTGTTAACAGTCTAGCTCCAACTATCATAAGTACTATGTTTGTATTCCTACTTTAAATTGAAAACCAGCAAATGTAAAAGATTCATGTCGCACCCTTCATCACGGGACGTGATCGTCGTTAGACTTGGCATCCCTGCGAGTGACAGATAGATGACCCCACCATTATGCATCACGGAGATGTAGGGATTGACGCGTCTTACACATATTATCTGTGTTTTAGGATGGAGAGGACAATGCTTTTATTGCTTTGAAGAAATTCATTAACCCATAAATTAATAAATGATTACTATTATGATGTAAAGGAAGATGCTGAAAATCGACCTATTATTTGCTGCATTCCCATTGGCTTTTGGGGATAACTGATTGTTAAGTGTAAATTTATAACACAAATCAAAATACATGAGAGTTGACCTGTTTTCTTGTTTATAATACTGTCTAATGTTCACGATTGTATCCAATACTTTAATAGAAATCACTGATATTATGAGACCTTTGACAGCTTCTGTCAAATTGCATTTCGATCAGGTATTTTCCCATTGGTCCATAATATTAATGTTGGTGAAATCGGCCCTTAGTCTAGTATACGTCTGTTTTCGAAATTTCGTACGATTAAAACGACTCCTAGTTCAAAATATTGGAAAATAAACTCGAGAAAATGAAAAAACACTAGACAAATATCAACCAATTTTAGCGAACTGACCGTCTTAAAAATTAGGAAAAATGCTCGGTATTAGTCCCTAATACATTATTTAAAGTTTCAGCATTGTATCTTGTATATATGTCAAGAGTATTCTAATTGTGTATGATAGATTTGATATGCCTTCAACGTTCAACGTTCGCTTGACATTTGACAGTGTAATGGTATAAAGATCCAGTAAATCAAGAGGCGCCGTAGCGTAATGGGAGAGAACGACGGTTTCTGCATCGCAGGGCGAAGGTTCGAATCGACACAGCTCCTTTTTTTGCTATTATTTTTTTTATATTTGGAGAAATGAATGTTTTTTCCATATTAGGAACACTATTTCGGATCATAGCAGATAATTTTTGAGAACATATGTATTGGATGTGTGAATTATTAACCAACAATAATGGAATACATCCGAAATTTAGTTTGTGATAATACGCCCAAGTTTTCCGTCAAATTAGGTACCTCATCGAGCCACAGAGGATGCTTATAAAATTAAGTGAGCTAACCCACAGTCTTTGTATTTATCAAGTAATTGTTAAGCGTAGATGCTCATTTCATCAACAGCGTAGATTTTTTACACAGTTTATATTTATTAATTTCGGATTTCGGATCCAGCCCTACTGAGCGAGGGCCGTGGCAAATGCTTGTTCCGGAAGTTGTTGTATCCAGTATACAACTTCTTCCCGTCCAAGTGATTGTGCACGCGTTAAGGAATACCTCAGTACCGATTGCCGGGTGGCGGTACAAGTCCGCCAACGGGCCACTTTAGGTCTATTTAACATCACTAACACGTAAAAAGAAGGTGGTAGATAAGCACCAGTCGACCGAGGCAGTACCACCCGCTAGCTTCTCCCAGGGTGTCTTATAAATGTCCGCATGTTTCCACACCTAAGCTATGCAGTCGGTTATCTACCAAAAATTCCTGTTAATATCTTGGACGACTTGAGGAAGCTTGGAGGCTTCGCACCCTACTGAGCGGGGCCGTGGCAAATGCTTGTTCCGGAAGTTGTTGTATCCAGTATACAACTTCTTTCCGATCAAGTGATTGTTCACGCGTTAGGGGTAGCGGTACAAGACCGCCAATAGGCCACTTTAGGTCTATTTAGCATCATTAACACGCAGAATGAA